GGAGTGTTCCATCGGTGCAGCCAGGGCAGCGGGACGGCAATGCAGCTGCTCATTTTTTATAGTCAAGGCAAAAACTGTGCTTAGTTGTTTGTATACCATCATAATTGTGTTTTGAAATTTCGACAAACTTCACGTGTATGTCTACATGTCCTTATTTTCATTATATAGTATTGAATTGGTTTGGGTCTTGACTTTTTTCTTTTTTTTTTTTGATTTTCTTTTTTTTTCACCCTGTTCTCAGGGGAGATAGAGGGGAAGGGGAGATGTATAGCAACATCCAGAATTCCTTGCAGGTTCCAACATTGATCAAACCCTGTGAAGCACATTACTGAGGCTGTGAAGGATGCTGCTTTTGTCCTCATTTCACCTCGTTCTGTCAGGGTATTGCATCACGTAATATGCAAAGTGTTCAGAGCTCCTGCAGTACCCTAGTAATAGGGGTGAACTGAGGTTGCAGCAACAGCCCTACCTCTGCATTCCTCTTGCTTTCTATAGGCTTTAGCACACTCACTTATGCTGCAAACCCTCCTTGGGGTCATTGAGTCCACTGAACATGATGTGATCCTTGTGGGGTCATTAAGAAGCGATTGGGGGGGGGGAATTCTTCAGGAAGATCCACTTGGAGAGATCATAATGTGATTAAATGGTGCAGAGGGGAGTCATTATTTTCAGATGTTTATCTTTTCAGAGTTCTCCTGCCCCCCTGAAATTAATGCTCCTGTTTTACATCTCTCGATTCTCTGTTCAAGGATGCGGGACTGAAAATCAGCAATGCAGTTGTTTGCTCTTGTTCCTCCTTCCCTCTGTCAGCCAAGAGGGTCCCCTTTCTTTTCCTCTAGTGAGGAATTCTTGCAGGGAGATGGTTAGCAGAAGGAAAGTGTTTATGAGACAGATGACTGGAAACAAGAACGCAAAATTCAGGGGGTTGATGGTACCATTTTGGTCAAAGGCCCCTCTCTAGATGACGGGGGATGAAAACATCTTTCTCTGCTTTCTTTCCCACTCCTTTCAATTTCCCGTATCTCTTTGGCTGTGTTAGTGCTATACCCAGGGTACTTTGGTCATCTAATTGTATTTGGGAGAGGTGTGTGTTAGCGTTTGAGCACTCTGTGCCCCTCTTTGCTGGTGACTGTGTATGTGAGGCTCTGTTCCCTCTGTGTCCCTGCCTTTTGTGCTGCTTCTGCCTTCCTGAGCGTGACGGGCTGTAGGAAAGGGCTCTTTGGGCCAGTGTTCCTCCTTTTTGGGTGTGGGGTGGACAGGGAGATCCTGCTCATTCCCACACAGCTAAAATGTATGCAAGAGAAGAAATGTAGCCAAGTAGGTAAAGAAATAACAGTTTATGGTTCTCTTTTCTGTCCCTCCCCCCATCTGGTTTCTAGTAGCAACAAGAGCCTTCACAGGAGCAATGCATCTCCTGTGTCACACGACTGTTTCTATTCAAGTATCATTGTATTTTTGGTCTGGTCTGTCGAAATATCTTTCTGGCATAGTGAAATGAGTTGGATGGGAGGGAAGGATACTCCTGTCTGCCCTGTTTGGGGAAAACTTGTGCTGGTATAAAGAATGCATGGTGGTGTATTTTATGCTGGGGAAATGGGATGGGAGTGCTCTGCTGCTCTTGCCTATTCTCTTCTGGAAAGCAGTGAAGAGCTGTGCTGGCAAACTGTCTCTTCTGGTGTAAGCAGAGCTCTGCCCCAGGCTCCTCTGGCTCTGAACTGTGGTGTCTAAACAGATTGCTGGGTTACCCACTGAGCGTGACTGAATGCCACTGAAATGCAGTGGAGCAGAATTTCACGTGCCTGCTGCCCTGTGCCTGCTAGAGTTGTGTGGGGAAAGCAGAGATGGAAGAGGGCACTTATTTATCTGGTGTGGCATGTAAAGCATTAAGCTTGTGGCAATTCCAGGCTCTACTGGTATGGGAGACTGAAGGGATCCTGTGACTCAAATGGTGCTGTGCTCTTCCTTGCTTACTTCATGTGGAGGGGGAGGGTAAAGAAAGAGCAATCGGAAGGATTGCTTAAGGGACTGTCATACCTCTCAGATGGTGCAAGCATCAAAGCAAGTGAGCCCACAATTAGCCAAGACAGGCAGAATGGGCTAGATTGTCAGTAATTGGGAAGGAAACAGGCCAAGGGAAGAGTACAGTGGTGTACTCCTTGTCCTTCCTTCACCCACAAACTCTCCTGGTGTATAGAAGGAGCATTGCTATGTGCTTATGGTCAGTTTACTGCCTTATTGCTTTTTTCTTATTTTCTTTTCTCCTCACTGTAACAATGAGGTGTAATACTGATGTGCTACAGAACCTACTGTGACAGGAAAAGCATCTTGTGTCCAGTCACTCATGATCTACTGTTTGACTCAGTGATGTATTGACTTGATTGAGGAGAAATCCTGCTGATATTTGGGAACCTTGCTAATATTCTTGCTCAGTTAGGAGAGAAAATGCTCTAATGATTTTTTGGGGGGCTGGAAAGCAACTATGCTTTCATTACTTACAGCATCTGGCATAAGAAAGGTAATACACTGGAAAGGAGAACGACCTCATCTCCTCTCTGTATATATTAAAGGATAAGATGCTGAAATCAAATGAGGAACTGTAGATCTTTCCACAGTGAAAGCGAGGTACTTAATGCAGCAGTACTTAGTATTCAGGAGCTTAATTCAGCCTTGGACTTCAGAGAATTCAGCTCCTTTCCCTCCTTCCTTCGCCTCCTTCTTAGACAAAATATATAACACTGCATGTGCAATATCTGTTTTAAGGAAGCTGAGAACATTTAGCTGAAGTACAGGGAAATGCTGCGTGTAGGGTTTCCTGGCAACTTTTTTTGGTGTGTGGTTTTATAACCATCTATAACTGGAAGCACCTAAATTTGTTCTTTTGCCCACATCTTACTGATGTTCCCTGCCCTGTTTGGCATGTGGAGGGAAGGGATGGTGTGTATCCCTTCTCTGTCCCTGCTTACCCTGTGTGGCCCTCCTGGACCATGTTCTCCCCTTAGGATGTGGGTTTGCAAGTTGTTTTTCTTTTTTTTCCCCACGGCAAAGCTGATTTTTAAGGTTTGTACTAGCCTTTGGTTGCTCTCAAGATAGTCTATTAGGCAATGCAGCAAATTCAGCCTAGGAAGTTTTTGTCATTGTCCCAATCACCTGCACTGCCTTTTCAATTATTTTACTGTGTTTACCTTGTGCAAGAAAAGGTTGTTCATGAGAAGGGATGGTTTTCATCCCAGTTCAGCACGGTCCTTAGAAACAATTTGGCTTGGGCAGACGGACGTGTTTGTGCTGCAGCAGTGCAAATGAATGGTTGTGACTGCACCTTTTTCCAAAGGGCTAACAAAGCTTTTACTGAATGTATCCAGAACACGAACCAGCAAACAGGTTCATCAGCCCATTGGTAGCTGCCATTGTGTGCGGGTGGGAGCTTGGACGAGCAAGAACCTCACAGAGTCCCCTTGCTAATGTGTAACTGTGCCTGTGTTTATTGCGTGCTCTTCTGCCACAACATGTGGCTGTATTAATATTCTCACAGACTTTTCCATGGCATTTAAAACCTTCTTTTGCAACACCTCTTTGTGAAAATTAACAAATGCTTCTCCTTTCCATATGAAGGTCTGGCATTGGTACCACATATCATATTGACATAGGATGTTTACTTTAAGTACCTAGATTTAAATAGTTATTAATGACAAGCTGAAAATAAGAGACTGTTGCTCTCCTGCTGTGTGTTTTCTCATTTATCCTTCCTGTTTTCCCAGTACCTTTTGAGTTTATTGCTTAGCTGAAGGAGTAATTGAGGAATGTCACAACTTGAAGGAAAAACTTTTTAAAAATACTACGCTATTCCCCAACAGTGTTCATAAAGTCAGAAAACATGGGAGAAGCACATTTGAGAGCTGAAGTTAATCATGAGGCCAAACCATGGGAAATGTGGCTTCCTTACCTGTAGAGTGCATAGAAACATTCTCCTTCTAGGGGTGCTATGCATGCTCTCCATGAGTCTGGTGCTCAGTACAGGAATTTGCTTGCATCCCTCCCTGGGTATCTGTAGCAAAGGCAGGGGGAATGATTTTTGAGTTCATCATGAAGTCCAAAATTTGTGGAAGAATGAGATTCTCCAGACAATGAGTGCTTCTAGCAACTTCCACTCCATTAGGTGAAATAGGAGTCTCACCTTTCAGACTGAATCTTTATTTTCAGAGGTGCTACCATTACAGTGTGGTTAATAATGAGTAAGCATAAGGGCACAGCTTTCAGAACACCACTACTGGTACTGACTTTGATCCAGTCCTCTCAAATGGCCGCTGTTGCATATAATGTATACTCAGTCACTCACAGTGAAAGAGACAATTGGGTTTTAGTCCCATTTATACGAAATATAACTGCTCAGGGCATTTTCACACTGTAAAGGTTAAAAGCTTGTGGGGGACTAATAATACGTAGAGGTGGGGTCCGGTCCAAGATGAAAATTGCTGAGGCCTAAGAGTAGAAAAATTTGCCAAGATATCTGCAGTGGTTGTGCAACACTAGGAGTCTGGCAGTATTGAAAGGTATGGATTGTGTTTGGGGATGTTTTTCCTTAAGAAAACAACTGATTTGGGGGATTAAAAAAATCTCCAACAAACAAAACAAACCACAACAAAGCAAACATTCTCCTCCCCCCCCCCCAAAAAAAAAAAAAAAGCTGATGCAGTTATGTCTACAGTTTTGGGGGACAAGTTCTGAAATATTATATGCTATGTTTCAGAAATATGGGAACTGGATTGGATATCATGCATCATTTAGGCTTGTTAAGAAAATATGTAGTAGTTTGTCTGGTGACTATTGTTTTTCTTTTGTTTCCTTCCTTTCCTGAATTGTTGGGAACAGCAGCTGTTCATCAGAGTTCTCCGTGGAGGACTGAAGTCAGAGCTGCAGATCTGGGTTTTAAACTGGGAAGGGCAAGAGAAAAAGAGATGAGATCATTATATGAAGTGCTCTTATACCTTTTCTTTGTTTTTCAGTGGACGAATATATTGCCATTGCTAAAGAGAAGCATGGATACAATATGGAGCAGGTAACAACCCTTTGAATACTTACTTTAAAATATTTTTCAACTTGTATTAAAACATGACTTCAAGTGACTGCCTAGAACTGCTTCTTCCCTTCTGTACTGACTGTGTTTTCTTTTCTCCTACTTATCCCAAAACTGACTGATCCTAGTAACAGCAAGCTGTGCTCTGAGGGTATGGAGTTCATCTGTAGTTTTATCTTGGGATATGGAGTTAGCCCCTAGTTTTACATGGAGAGTCAAAAAAAAGAAAAACAAACCCACTGTAATTTCTGACAGAGTCTGACCATAAGTGTTTTGCATCCTCTGGTGACTACCTCTTGCACACTTTCAGAACCCCTAAACAATGTTAAAAAGATTGGCTTGTCGTTGGACAGCTGCCTGATTGCATTGCAGTTTCCAGCTGACTGCTCCATCTCTTGCTTCATGGATGTCTTGGCAGTTATTAATGAGCTATTGAACCATCATATACTTTTCTGAGGCAAACCAATATCCACAGTTATTTACCTTAAAACTGTGTTGCAAATCATTTTGCATTTCATAGATGAGCACCTTGCCTGTCGGTGCAGTAACAGTGGGTGACTTTGCCAGCTGTCACTGACATTAGACAGTACCTGTAGTCTAGGGATGGGAATCCTGGTCTGAGGAGCAGATCTCCCCTTTACTCCCTGTGGTCTAGGATTGTGTACTAATCTTTCCTGTTTTCACTAACATCGATTTCAACACTTGTTGTGGAGATGAGTAGATCTGTGTCCGGGAAACTTTTCTGAATTCTCTGGAGTTTCCTTATGCACTAATACTTGCCCGGAAAGAGAAGGCAGGGGATCTCATGACTTACTGAATTGTCAAATCACATACTGTCTCTACAAAGGGATTCTACAAGAACTTGGAAGTTTGTAAAATTGTTCAGGCAGAACATAGAAACCCGTGACTTGGATGGGCAAGGGCTTCTATTTAAATGATTCTGCTGTCATCTTTGAGTCAGACTTTCGGTGGGTGCTCAAAAAGACTTCTTGCTGAACAAGAACATTGAAATTGAGATAGCCAGCAAAATTTCCAGCAAACCCAGGAATGATCAGACTTGATAACTGTAGTTTCAAAGAGCAGAAAATAGCTATAAAAGGAACATGAAAGCTTCAAAAGGCTATGAACTTAAAATGAACATAAAGATGGTAACTCTCTTCACCTGATGTGGGTATACCCTAATATTGTATATTGTGGGTAATATTGGCCAAGAGAGATGGTCTCAGAGTAATAGATACGGGTTTCATTATTTCAGTGGAGAATTGATGTTTGGAGAATATAGACTGATACAAAAGACTGATCAAAATGAAGCTTGTCATTTTTAAAATTAAAAAAAAAAAAAAACCAATCACTGAATTCTTGTCATTTGAGAAACTTAAATTTAGCTAGCAGAGATTTACATTCATTTTAATGTTGGAAATACAAACCTCCCACTCATTCCTTGAAGTCTTTTTCTCCTTTTTCCTCTTCTCTGTGTACAGAAGTTGTAGGACTTGCCACACCAGGATGTAAAGTGGCTGAGCAATGTGTAAAAATTTCCTACTTCTAAAAATTTTCTCATTCATACTATAGTACTCTCACATAATACTCTGGAGTCAAACATGTTTCCCAGGTCCTTTGGGGTTTCCTAGACAGCTTACACTAGGCACTTTCAGGAAATAACTGGAGAGGATCTATTTTCTATTGCTCTGGAAGGCATGTATTCATTTTGTATTATAGGGACAAGTGTCAAGGCTTTCCAATCAGGATGATTGGTTGTGTCACCAAGGGACACTCGGTCTTCAGCAGGTATCATCGGAGTTGCTGTTGGCTGGGTAACTGTGGACAAGCTGGAAGCCAGTCAGAACTTGCTTTAGCAATTGGCCACCGTCTCTGGGCTTTGCTGGCCACGGCAGCCCTCTCCCACACACATCCCCCTGACAGCTGGTCTCTTTGGACCTCTGTCCAGGTGGCTTGGCCTGGAATCCCTGCATGGAGATTCCTGTTCTTCCACCTGTGCCCACTGCCCAAGGCCTCCCTTTGCAGACTAAGACATACCAATCTGTTGAAGGGAGTGGTGAGCAGCTGGCAGGTGCAGGATGTGTGCCAGCCCTCCTCTGCCCAGCGTTGTTCCTGTCCAGCCCAGCCGGCCACATCTGTGCCATGTGCAGCTCCCAGCCCTGTCCTTTCTCTCCCCTTGCCTGTGGCTGAGTGCCCTGTTGGCTCTGCTGCTGTTGGATGATGGCTGGAGGCTCGGGGCCGTGCTGGTGGGAGTCTCTGCAGCTTTGCCAGCTGGAGGCCAGGCAAAGGGCAGGTTCCCACAGGCCAGTGAGCTCTGGCAGGGCAAGCCCACTTGAGCTGGTGGTGCAAACAGCTGTCGGTGTTTGTGCTGAGCTGTGTCAATCGCGGGCTTTTGGAAGCACTACAGTAAGTCTGGCTGTGAGCCGTGCTTTCCTACCAGCCTGTGTCAGACACGCCGGGACAAAGGAGTCTGGGAAAGCTGTGTACTTACCTGTGTATGAGCGCAGAGTTCTTCTAGGGCAGCACGGGGGGGAAGAGGAATATTGCTCTGCTGTTAAAACAAACCTGTAAGGAAAATCTTTTGTTTACCTTTTGCTTTGTGTAAGCAACTGTCCCCTCAGCCCTTGCTAGCATCTCAGTGGTATTTAATGCTACCCTGCCCTCCTCCCAAAATGTCTTGCTCCTTGTTTTACCCTTGCTTCCTCATGGGGATATTTAGTACAGCTTGTGTCTGAAGCTGAAAAGGATGTCAGGGGAGAGAAAACTCAGTCCTTCATGACTGTAGAATAGTTCCTTTGGCCCCATGCTTGCCAGAGTGGCTGTGTGGCTCCTGTGACATCTTGAGTGACTGTAATGCAACCAAGACTACTACTTGTTCTGCATGGAGGCAGAAGGGAAGAGAGGGTGTCCGGGCAGCACTGAGAGGCCAGTAGGGTCCAGGCAAGATCTTGGATATCACTAACATTTGCGTACTCTCTGTATAATCTTACGGGACACAAGATCCCATAAAGGAACTGCTTTTTGCATAGCAAAGCATAGTGGGGAAACCCCAGATTTGGAGGGATTTTGTAACGCTGAGCAGCCAGGGCGAAACTACTAGAAGAGGGTAACTATGGCTGCGAAACCTGAGCTGAGTTTGCATATGATGAGCAGGTTACTCTTACGTTTTACTCAGCATGTTGGGGATTGTTTTCACTTCACAGCCATTGTGAAAGGCTGGTTTTTAGCTCTGCAGAGTCAGGCCTTCCCAAAATGACTTGCAGTGGTTGCTGGCATGCCAGAGGCAGTGATGTGTCATAACACACAGGGGCTGTGCACCCCTGGGAGGGGGGAGCTGCCTGTGAGTGACTCGGAGGCAGCAGGAGGAGAATGGTTTGCAGGTGCTGAAGCACAGCACATGCACTTTGTCTTTGGAACCGAGAATGAGAGACTGCAGAAGTGAAATGAGGCATCTCTCAAGGGAACAAACGAGCAGCCCCCAAAATGAGTGAGATTTATTCCTTCTTTGGTCCAGGGACATTTTAGCGGCAAGTCAAGGTTGTGCATGCTCCTTCTTCCAGTTCTTCTCTCATCCTCTAACCCTTTTACCCCTCCCCCTCAGAAAGAACACCATAAACAACCATAAGAACCCGTAGTCCCCTAAACCATCTTTCTGATTGTCAGGAAATAGAGTTCAGCACTGGCAAGAGACTGTTTTTTTACCTAGACTTCCCAAGTCTTTGCTTAGCTTTCCTGTGCATACCATGATGAATAAAGCTGGAGTAATTTCTTCAGTTTTCTTCTCCCACCTTTCTGTTGCTGCTCTCTTATTATGTGACTACATGTGTGTTTTTGATAAACTTCAGGTTGATCTTCACAGCCTAGGTGGGGATCAGATTCCAGGTGTCTTGCACTCAGAAAAGCATCTGATGTAGCTGTGAATTAAAATTATACCTAATGTGTTGCCTGAGAAAAATGTTGTAGCTCTCCCTTTCCGTTTTCCAGTCATGTTTCATTTTACAGTTATTTCCAATGACAATTGTCCCCTTGGTGTCTGTGTTATTTCTAGGCCCTTGGGATGCTGTTTTGGCACAAGCACAACATCGAGAAGTCTTTGGCAGATCTGCCAAACTTTACTCCGTTCCCAGATGAGTGGACAGTGGAAGACAAGGTCTTGTTTGAACAGGCCTTCAGTTTCCATGGGAAAACTTTTCACAGGATCCAGCAAATGGTAAGTGGTTTCACAGGAGTGGAAAAGCAGAACAGGCGGTTGGACTGTCATCTTCAGTGCTGATTGTGCTGAATGCATGTGTAATGCTCTTGGGAGAGGCCAGAGGGGATGTTAGAGGGAAAATACTACCATGAATAGAAAGAAATAATATTGTTTCCAGAGTCTCTGTAGAAGTGTTTTCCTAAAGTGCTTTACTGGTTCAGGATAGACTTCGACTGTACAATTTTTTTGGTTGGAAATTACAGTTTTCAGTCCCTTGTGTGCCATGGTAGTGTTTGTCTCAGCTGGAGTTCAGGCTCGGTCTGTACACACGTGCCCACACGCACACACGCAATAAAGATCATCTCTGTGCAAAGTTGATTTCCTTTCTTACAGCCTGCTTTTTAGGAATTAATTTTATTTAACTATGAAGTCTGTCCTAAATGTGATTTGGGACTGTCAGCGGACGCTGTGGTGGAGGTTTATACATCATTGCAAGCATTCAGTCCTTCGATTTTGGTTGGTATTGATACTGTTTTAAACTGTGATTGAAAACTTCAAGGGTAGATTTCTGCCTGAAAGGGAGGTGCTAGGGGAGTGTGCAATTTTCTTTTGAAAGAGGCAGAGCATGGGATGCAAAAAAACTTTTATTAATTGTATCTTGAGAGTGTCTTCAAGTTCATTACCTGGGTGGGAACCAGACTTTGTCCTTTGCTCTACTTCATTAAAGTGCCTTGCAAGTATTCCAGCATGATGCAGTTACATTGGCTGTGCCCCTTTGAAGTGAGCATAGGCTGTTGCAGTCTGTCTGTTCAGCCTCTTTAACAGCACATGTGAAGGTCTGTGTTGCTGATCTGCTGAAAAGTGAAAGCTGACTTGCCTTCCACGGATGAAGAAAAACTGCCAGATCCCTTTTCAAAAGGGAGGAACAGAAAGAGGCTTGTTCTCCTCGTGTCCTCCTTGAATGTTGCTTCACTGATGTCCATTTCCAAATATTCTTGGAGTCCTAGAGTCTCCCACTCCCTTTGCTCAGGTGATAGGGCTTGCACCAACTGTGGCAGTCTGGAGTTGTGGAACTCTTTGAAGGGTGAAGCTTCTTTATTCCTCTGTTTTTATATAGGGAGAAATAAACGGGAGGAGAATGTCCTGAGGAAAAAAAGAGAACATAAAGCCCATCCTGTTGCTTGGTTTAAATGCTAAAGCAAGAAATTCTCCATTCAGTTTATGTGCAAGAGCATGGCTCTGTCCCTCAGTGAAGTGCATTCCAATACAGGGATGCCAAGCTAATACAGTGTTCCCTTGGTAATGATACTTTTTTACTGTTGCTCCCAGGAAAGCCATGCTGCATGAAAGAAATTAAATAGCAAGAAGCTTTGTGTTTAGCAGGGGACAGGAATCAATGGCTTGGGAGCACATTAGTTGTTGGTTTATATATGCTGCCCCATTAGCACCAATGCAGTTAGGAACTGAGGGGAGAAATCATCAAAGCCAGAGAACAAAGAACAAGTTATGTTATTTACTGAAGCTGATTCTGATATTTTGGCACTCTTAGCGCAGATTTGTAGCCAAGTGGATGTTTGTCAGGAACAGCCTCGTCCCTGAGTTTGTTCTGTGGAACTCTTAATTTCAGCATACCAGCCTGTTGCATGGCTGTTGGCAACACAACATGGACACAGCACCTGTGCTTTGCCAGCACAGATGGATTTCTGCCTGTGTGCAGCTGTGGGCCAGGGTGGTAGTTCTGGTGCGATCCCTTATTAGAACCTAAAGTCAAATCTGCAGTTTGAGAACCAGGCTTATCTCAAGTGAAGACCTAAACTGCAGTATCTGAATAAGAGGGATCTGCCTCTTGCTCACAGTTTTGTTTCAGACCCCACTTGTTCTGCCCTCCAGACTGAATCAGACACTTAACTAAAACATGTTTTATTCAGCAAGAAAGGCTGGACTTTTACCATTTAAAAGCCCTGTGTAAGAACATCCATGCAGAGTATTTCAGAAGCAGAGAATTAGTTGTAATGTAGTTTTATGCTTTTTGGAGGCAGACCTTTCATTCATAGCTGCAGGGCAATGGTATTAGTATAAGAGGACCAAAAAAATTAATTCTGAGACTTGTGTTTTTCTGTACTGTCAGTTCACCATACAGTAATGTTTCACCTTTTGAAAACATCCTCTGTTGACACCTTTGAATAGATTTCATCATGTGAATGGTGTGAATAAACCTGATTAACCAAACATCAAAGATGTGCTTGGGATGTCGCCTGCAATTCAGCAGTTCCTGCTGAATGTTTACATGTGTCTGTGTCACCTTTGAAAACTGTTATCTCAGTTTCAAGGCCTCATTTTGGATATGCTCTTGCTATGTTCCTCTACTCTGAAGGGAACCAGCTACGTGGCTGGTGAGTGGAGGCTTGCTCAGGTGCTCTTCAGAGATTTTGATGTCCTAAATAGTAGGCACTAACCTGAGACGCTCCCCCATAGCTCATTTTTGGAAAGGCTGCAGAACTGCCTTGCTTGAGCCTTTGAGACAATCCGACGTAGAGAGATCAGATGTTCCTTGACAAAACCAGACCAGTGGTATGTGAACTCCTGGGGATACTTTACATATAAACATATAAAAGGATAAATGTTTAATTTACAGCTTCCTGACAAATCAATAGCCAGCCTGGTGAAATTTTACTACTCCTGGAAGAAGACAAGGACTAAAACTAGTGTGATGGACCGTCATGCTCGTAAACAAAAAAGGGAACGTGAGGAAAGGTAGGTTTGCAAGCAGAAAGGTTGTGTATTGCCACACACTGGTTTCTTTAGACTATCCCAGAGATTCCTGTTAGCTTGTAAGAAACTAGATCTAGGATTTTCCCTAAAATGTTTCCTGGTACCACACCTTTCCCCACCCCTCTTCTCTGCTATGCATGTTTTGCTTTGCTTAAAGCCAATCTCTTGGCAATTAGGTGTGCTCCCTTTTTCAACACTGTGCAGTTCCGGATTGCCCTCTAATGCACTGGTTACCGTCCCATCATTCTAGAACCTTTTCTCTGATACTGCTTGAGGGTGGAGAAAATGAAATTAGAACTGTTTACAGTCTGATTGGCACTGTTGTCAGCAGAGCCAGAAAAGCTGATAAGCAGGAGGTAAAAGGAAGTAATGAAAGAGCTAGAAATCTGCCTTTATTTCCTCTCTGTAATTCTCAGCAGAGTGAGAAAGTGCACCTGATATGGGGAACAGGGTCCAGTGCAGGACCCCTCGCCCGTGTGTGTATGCACACAGACCCTCCCCTGTCTCTTAGAGAGCTGTAACAAGTGTTTAAGGCTGTCAGCCAAGCTGTTCCCTGAGAAAGGTGAAGGTAAGGCTCTGTTTTTGAGTGACTGCGAAGAGGGTAGCAGAGGGCAACTCAGGATGAGCTCTCTGGCAGAGGTGTCCCAAAGAGTGCTGGGTGCATTAGGATTTGAGTGAGGCTGGTGGTGTTCCAGAAGTCACCAGCTACTGAGGTTTAGCAGATGAGGTTGACTTCTGCTTTTTCTGTAAGTCCACCATGGAAACCCTTGAAGGTAAAGCAGCCAGTGACCTTGTGTATTGCTGTAAATATCTGTACAGTTGGAACTGCCACTTGGTGACTTTGCCTGGTTCTGGAGCTGACAGAGCCTCAGAAGTGCAGAGGCCTCAGGTGTCTGTGGGGAAAGTAACCCCTCTGAACAGCAGCAACTTCATCTGCTTGATGCAAGTGCCTTCTCAACCTGCTCTAAAATGCAGTTAATGTCTTTGCAGACCAAACTTGAGGCGTACCTGGCTTTGGAAGACTTCTAATATAATTGGGTGAAAATTCTACAAAAGTTTTTCTCTTGAAGGAGTTGCACTTCCCAAGGAGCACTTTGCTGGCTCCAGTGTGTATGAGCAAGCTCTGTTGGGAAGGGGGAAGAAATGTGTTTCTAGGGTTGAGCTGTTCTACACCAATGACTCACTCAACCTCTCCCATCTCTCCATTAGGTCAACAATACTTGCTTAAAGGGCAGGGCCAGGGAGAATACTGCCAGCCAATTTGTCCAGTATTTGGTTGGCTTCCTTTGACTTGAGTCTCTTCTTCCACTCTGCTCCTTTCTTTTCTTTGCAAAGGCTGTCTATTTTTCTTCTCCCCATCCTGATGGATTTTATTATTTTTTTATTTATTTATTTTGGTTTGGTTTTAGTTTTCCTACTAATTTATGGGGGCATGGAATCTTTTATAAGGAGTACGTGTTTGTCTCATACTATGTAGCTTAGGGTCTTTTAATACTACCTCCTCTATTTTTGTTCTGTGCTCATAAATGAAATTACTGCAATTCGGAAATCTACCTCTCAGGTACTTATGCCTGTTTGGTAGGAAAAGCAGCACCTCAGACCATCTGGTGATCGGGAAAGAACTGTATGGGCTGCCATGTGCTGCAGTTTTGTAACCTTTGAGGAAGGCAGCTGGATTGGAAATGCATAATTTGGTTTACATCTGCAGCAAGCTGAGCACCAGGCCATCAGCTTGATTTTTGATTTCCATTCTTCCTCTCCGTTACATAAAATAGTCAAACCCTACACCCCCAAAGGATTTGTCAGTGCAGCTATGTGGGGTGTGAAATCCACACTGGGTGAGTTTAGGGTACCTGGATTTTCAGGTTGTGCTGTGCCATTCGGTGCTGGCAGAACTTCTGAAGTGCTCCTCGGTTATAGTGATCAGTGTCTAAAACTGCAGAAATGAGTGGGTGGGTTTTGATCTAGCTCATGTCTAGAGAACATGTTAGAATACGGATCAAACTATCAGCACAGCAAAGGCTGTGGGAGTTGACTGTTGTGGAAAGGCTGAAATCTGAACCTAGGTGAAAACATAAGGAAGTTCTTTCAGAGATGGGGTTAAGAGAAGAGGCAGTCTGAGGTATCTCACTCAAATACCTCTGTATTTCTTTTGTAACTAGGCAAGGAAATTCCCCAACTCCTCAGGTTATTGCTAAAATAACTCTCACTGCATTTGGAACCAGGTTTTCAGTAGCTGTTCTTAGTAGTGTGCAAGGGGCTTTGTGTATTCAGCTCTGGGAGGGGATGCTTGGGAGTTTATTCCCTAGAATCGTGATTTCACAGGACATTTAGTCTGAGTATCAGCTGGTGAGCCAGGCAGCTTGGGAGAGCAGAAGTGGCTTGAACAAGTGATTGCTCTTGTGGAGATGGATGCCAGCCCAAGCCACCTGGCAATCCCTTCCTCCTTGGGATGTGGCTGCAACAGGGAGCCGGCCACGAGCTGTACCCTGTTGGCCCCAGCACTGTAGTACAGCTCTGCCCTGCACTGAAGCTGTGACATACCTGCACCAGCTAATGGTTCCTCAGCCCAGGCTATAAAGTTTGACTTGACAAAATAGGTTTATTTTTTTGATTAAAAAAAAAAAATGTATATATATAATCAGCTTGAATTAGATCAGCTTATTTCTTCTGTTTCTGGGCATCATCTCAAATGGTGCAATTAACTTTAGTTGTGTACAGTACAAAAATTCTAAATGGTGGAAATACATTTGATTTAATGTCTGATTAAAATTCCAGTGAAGCTAAACTGGACAGGTGTGCCAAGGTCACTTTCAATATGACCCCAATTTCATGCCTATTATTATTCTGTAACTGGTAGTCTTTTTCTTTTCCAAGGGAAAATAAAATGTAAAGCTGTCACTGAAAAAAAACCCAAAACAACCAAACATTTTTTGTGTTTGTTCATGACAGAGCTCATCTTGTGCATGTCTGTTTTGCTAAAAGTTAAGGAGTTCTATGAAATGCAGGTTTTAGCTACTTGCTGTATTTCTCAGTCTTTCTGTCAGTTTAGCTAAAGTTAAAATGCTTGGTGTCCCTTGTTCTTTAAAAGATAACTTGTGGAATTAATTTCATGTCCCTGTGCAGACTTACTTTGCCCAAGTACACTGCTGAGAAGTCTTCCTGTATGTACTATCTTCACAATTAAGAATTTACTGACTTAAACCAAAGAAACCTGCAACCCCCTAAAAAAACACACATCCTGGGAATAAAACTAAGGAAAGCTGTTGGACTTGATATTGCATCCATGCATTTGTTTTAGCATGCTATTTATAGAAAAAAAGTCTCACAAACTAATACAGTACTGTTTGCTTTTGTCTTCCAGTGAGGATGAAATGGAGGAAGCAAATGGAAATAACCCTATTGACATTGAAGTTGAACAAAACAAGGAAAGCAAAAAGGAGGTATAATTCTTTTTCTTATTTCTGTACAAATGAAAGTGTTTACTTACTAGATACTTCATGTAGAAGCTGACAGTATGTAATTTTCTTTTTGTGCTTTGTATAGTTGTCATACAAGAAAAGAATTGTCTTCAGAATTATTCTTAGATCAAGACAAGTATAGATAAGTTATTATGGATGGAACTGGGAAAATTTCAGACTTTACTGTCCCATGATAATGTAGTCTGTGATTGTTTCTCATCTCTTTGATTCTCTCTTTGGGTGTGTTAGCTTTAACCACCTTCAGTGATGGTTTAAATCAACCTAACTGCATGGAGATGGAGTGGAAGCACATCTCCCCATTAAGATGGCTTGGGAGGGGAAATACATCCTTTTGCTCTAGGTAGATCATCAAGAGCATGTTTATCTACACCTTAGATTCTGAGGTAAATTGGTGATGTACTGAAATTCCCAGCAGCAGTTGTGAGGATTTCAGTGGCACCAGGATTGCAACTCCATTGGTGAAAAGGAAAGGAGAAAGTTTTTGTGGCCAGTTCATTTTGTGTGGCAGAGGGGCCTTATGTGCAGAAAATTTTGTCTACTTAAAATGTAGTACTTGCATCTCACTTCAACTACTTCATTTTAAGTGGGAATAGACTTCTGGATAAAAATAGCTACACAGATACAACAGTTTGGAAAATATAGTCTGTGATGCCTAACAAGAAGGCGTATACTTCATGTGTATAACCTGCAGGTCATCTGCTACTAAATAAAAGCACCTTGCCTTTCAGCAGCAGTGTGGGTTGTATTTGAGTGACAGAGATGCTTACCCTAAAACCTTCTCTCCTTGAAGCAGTTTCCTTTCCTGATTTCTTGTAGCCTAATTTCTCTCCCACAGACATTCTATTTCAGTTTTTTAAATTCCTTTAAAGGTTATATGTAGGGAAAATCCACTATAAATATTTAAAAACATGATCTAACTGAGGCAAAAACAAAGTCCTAGAGCACCTGTTTTGTCAGCCACTGTCAGTGAGATTAATTTCTCCAAAAAATTATTTTTAATGGAAATAACTGAAAAATCGCAACGTTCCCATCTGTTCTTCGCCCATGCCAGGGTGCTCTCTAGACTTTCTAGAAAAGCCTAACTGTTGCTTCCACTGAAAGAACCAGCACCCTTGATGTCTTTTTAGGAGCAGAGTGGATGTGAAGCCATTTGTCTTCATCCTTACAAGAAACTTGAGTTCTCAGAAGCTTCAGCAACAGCCTAACAGGAAGGGTTCTCACTTGGCTAAGTTGCAGCTACATACTGCAGCTCTCCAGTGTCTTGTAAATAATAGTATTGTCTTATTTCTCATTATTTTAATAAATTTTCAAGTTTAGGTTTCTTTGTAAGCTCTTTGAAAGCCTGCATCTGTAAAAGAGCTCCCTTCCATCCCCTCTGTTATTGCTTCCTTCCCTGCCGATGCTGACATGCTCTGAATTTGCTGTGGAAGAGGGAAAGGTAGTTCTTTGCCAACTTTCTGTTGTAAGGCCACAACCAGATCAGATGTCTAATAGTTACCATTAAGGCATTTTTGTAGAAAGTCTTGTGTGGGAGGAGGCTGTGCACCCTCCCTGTGGCACTGATGCAGGCTATGGCACTCCTGCTGATCTGAAACTCGTGCAGCATGTGCAGTCTGGCTGTGTGCGCAGTGTTGGGCAGCCTTGTGGGGGCTCTTCTGGACAGGGATTGTACTGGGGGGCAAAATGAAGCTGACAGCCTTCATAGCCTGTTCAGAGGTTAGCTGGGGTTGTTTAGCCTGGAGAATGGGAGGCTCTTGGGAAGACCTTATCACACTTTACAGCTACCTGAAAGGAGGTTTTAGCAAGATGGGGGTTGGCCTCTTCTCCCAGGCAACTAATGACAGGACAAGAGGACATACATAGCCTCAAGCTGTGCCAGGGGAGGTTCAGGCTGGACATCAGGAAGAATGCTTTCACTGAAAGGGTTGTTAAGTGTTGAAATGGGTTGCCCAGGGTGGTAGTGGAGTCACCAGCCCTGGAGGTGTTTGAGAAACACTGGATGTGGCTTGTAGTGTTATGGTTTAGTTGGCATGGTAGTGTTTGGTCAAACGTTGGACTTGAAGATCCTGGAGGTCTTTTCCAACTTTAATGATTTTATGATTCTGATTTTACAGTCCCTGCACCTGGGGCTGATGGAAATGCCTTGAGAGAGAGAGAGCAGGTATCCAGGAGGGGACAATAAAGTCATTCTTGATCATTGTGTTTCTTTTAATGATGTTGCCAGATGTGCAGGGCTGCTGACGTGTCAGCAGCTCAGCGCTCTTACCGTAAAGAACCTCCCTGTCCCAACCGCTCAGAGATGTTTTTTTGGGCTCTGAGACATGTTGGTTACTATCTGACTTGCCCAGTAATACTGGGATTTCTCAGAGTATCTGAAATCTCTCATCTGTTTCCTCTTTTGGGGATCACTGGAAGGGGAATCTTCCCTTTTTACTTTCAGTGTAAGTTAAACTGTTTGGTTTTCCTCAGATAGTGACTCTGTAATACTGAGGTCATGACCTAGAGCTGCTTTCTCTGTATCTTCCCTGTTCTGGGAAATGCCTCCCATTTCATCCTCTGCTTTTACATGGCTTGAGATAGCTTGGCCTTTTCTTCTTACAGAGTGAAATCTCAGGAAGGGAACTTTGTATTAAGGGGTTTGTAAGACTTAAGTGCACTGGATAGCAGTGGCAATACCTAAATAAAAAGAGGAGCACTGTTAAATCCCTGCATTTTAATTCTCTCTGGTTTTCATGAATTTATGTGTGTGGCCAGGAAAGCAAGAGTTTCCAAGACAGAGTAGATGGTCAGATTTTTGCTGGGGCCTAAAGGCATTTGGAGCCATCAAAAACTGTTCTGCGGGAGGTCTGGCTTCTTATCCTCAACACAAAAGAGCTTTGCATTTTTTGAAGTGTGTAAAACAGTAATTTAAAAATGCTTTCATTTTTCCTTAAAGTTGAGGCTTCTAGGGTGTTTGCACTGAGGGAATTGCATGTTGGTCAACTTACAGCCTGAACCTGTAGTGAGGTATTGCTGTGTGGTCCTGTGAAGTTGTGTACGCAAATGAAATAGGAGTAGATCTGAAATGCCTATCCATGCTAAATAATTTACCTGACTGAGTTATCAAAGTGCTTGCTTCTGAAGCAGGGTGCAGAGCTTACCTCACTTGCTCACAGCTAAACCAGTTTGCTTTCCCCTGCTCACCACTCCCTTCTGCAAAAAGAAATAGGGGTATCCATCCTGCCATGGCAATAGTTACCTCTTGCTTCTGGGCTTGCCTTAGGCATTGGATCTCATGGAATACTTTGCACTAATCAGTGGAAGAAAAAGGTGGAGAACAGGCAATTGTCCACATGACTGCTGTTATGTGGCTCTGGCCACTGTGCCAATGAAAATGCAAGCTTTTGTCTGCTGACAGCTATGCTGGAGTCCTCTGGTCTTTGGGAGTCAGAACCTCATGCTTACATGGGGTTTGTCCTCGGCCTTGTGTGGTTTCAAATGCGAGCATTTAATGCTCACTAATGAGCTAATGTCACAAACTCTGTAGAAACTGCATGTAGCTGCAAATCAGGAGGGAAACAATAGCTCTAAATGAAACCAATGTGTTTAAAGCTGGCAGTGATCAAGTAGAGGATTCAGCCTCCCCTCTGCTTTTTCTTTCTCTGCCATCCTTCTTCTGTTCTGTGTTCTTGGCCAGGCTCCAGTAACTGGGTAGTAAATCTTAGTTATGAGTTGCTTGTTGAACATAACTTCTGGAAGAAATGGTTTTGGTTTTTAGAATCAGATGTGCTTTTGAAGGATCTGTAGTGTAGTGTCCTGGCTAATCTGCCTGTTAGAGGTGTGTGCTAAATTCTTTGCTTTAAATGTAAGGTAAATAAAAATAATAAGTGGTCTGTGAAATACTTGTTTTTTCAAAAGAGACTTAAATTTTATTTTAGGCAAAACTACATCAGTTTAATGGAACAGTTGATACACAAGTGCTATGCAAGAAAACTTGGTTTCCAAGGAATGGTGTAACAATCTAAGAATTACTCTGTAGTCATCTCACTCCTTTGTCCTTCGCCTTTAAATAAATTTGGTTTATTCCTTCTCCTGTCTGACTTGTAATAAAACACAAGTCTCAGTAAACTGTTCTAGTTGTGTTCTTCCCCCATCTGCAAACTCCACTTTGTTTCATTCTGGTGTTCAGGCCTGGTGTTCAGGCCTGGTGATGAAAGCAAAAAGAGAGCTTTTGGAGGTTTCAAAATAAGCAGAACATTTAACTGCTGCAAAATTAGGCATCTGTCTCCCAAAATGAGAATGGGCAGAGAAAACAACCAGTATCTCTGTAAGTACTGAAAGCTGCCTGGAAGAAAGGAGACATTTGTACAAGACAGCGTTTGTATGACACGCCACTTAAAGCAAAAAATGTCTTCCTGTCTGCAAAGTAGCTTTCTTGTTCTCCAGTCTTTGATGGCTGAAAGTTGTAGAATCACAGGATGGTTTGAGCTGGAAGCGACCTTTAAAGATGATCTAGTTTTGTAAAGTGACTGCTGTTTGCCAGGTGCCACCTGCTGAAACTGTCCCTCAGGTGAAGAAGGAGAAGCACAGTACGCAGGCCAAAAACAGAGCGAAGAGGAAACCTCCCAAAGGAATGTTCCTTTCCCAGGAAGATGTGGAGGCTGTTTCTGCCAACGCGACAGCTGCTACCACTGTACTCAGACAACTGGACATGGAATTAGTCTCAATCAAACGACAGGTATGGATGGGATATGGATGGGCTGGTTTTGGTGGTAATGCCTGTTTCAGTCTGGGAAGCTGGCAGGAATTTGTAGCTTGGGCAGTGATGATGTGCATTGTTATGTGGCTTAGCTGACAAGCTTCTAGTTCTGTGCTCTGAACTAATGCAGCCCTGGGTCTTACATCTCATGTTGTAGTTCTTTGGACAAGCCTACTTTATACCTAAAAGCAAGGAAAAGTTCACAGCAGGGACTTAAAGGAATACTTGTTGGCACTTGCTGTTTCTTGCAGTTGAGAGTTCCTCTGTTTTAATTGTGAACTTTGCTCAGGTGACATTGGTTTCAGCAGTATCCTATTTCCATCTGCAGCAGCTAGTTTCCTTTTGCTTTTTCATATGATACTTTTAGAAGAGACAGATATTTTTGGTTTAGTCTTTCTTAGACAGGCATCATACAAACTTTCCTGTGTACCTTTTGCTTCCCTCATGGATCTGCCTTTTAAACAAATGTTTTTCAAATATCTGTGATTAAAGACAGGTTTACTACATGAGTCTGTTGCCTAGATCTGAGTATTTTCGCTCTTTCTGAAGCAGAGATCTGTCTCGAGCTCTTTATTAAACTTTATAGAATTGGTATTTTGGCCTGAAGCCTTTTTTTGGCACTCTGGGAGAAGTGAAGCTCTCTAGCAGTCTTTGATTCATTACTTTCTGCAAAGGGGGTCTTTTTTCTCATGCTGGTCTTTATACAGACCTCAAAGTTGGGGCAGTTCTTGCTCCAAATAACTTGCAGACAGCAGAGAATAAATTAAATGGGATCTCCTGATTCACCAGCTGCTCCTGCATTCCACACACTTCCTTTTGGAAAAGGGAAGCTGTGAGAAAGGCTGGAAGGCTGAGCTTGTGGGGTTCCTGCTGAGGCTGCTAGCAAAAAGGCTTGTCCAAAGATATGTTTTAATCCTTTTTAAAGGAATGAAACTTTCTTTTCAGATTCAGAATATCAAACAGACAAACAGCGCGCTCAAAGAAAAACTTGAAGGTGGTATAGAACAATACAGACTTCCAGAGGTAAGATCATTTTCTGACCCTTGTTTATTGTGAAAATAAATGTTAATCTGTTTTCATGCCACAGCTATTGGTTTCCAGTAAACTAGGACCAATGTCCTATTGGTTGTCGGTGTGACTCAGGTCCTTTACCATATTCACTGATGTGTAATGCAAATGGGAGATGAGAAGAAAGTAAGAGCGGTGTTTAGGTTGAAATTTGTGAAAGTACAGGTATCCCAGATAGATCATGTTTTGTCAGTGCTATATCTACATGCCTTTGTGAGAGAGGCATTTACTTTGCTCTAAATGCTGAGAAATGTGGGAGAGGATATTAATGGCCCACCTTTCTCTTGGCACTTGGGGCTTTTGCTTTTTTCCTTCCAATGCTGGTGCCTCATGCTGGAAGTAATTTGGCCAAGATTACAGAAGGTGTCTGTGATAAAAACAAGTAGGTGCTTTGAAAGAGTGTGGCTCTTAGTTATCTGCTCAGATCCTTCCCTATCTTCTTTTGTTACCATGACTTACAGGCACGCTGTATGTCACAGTTAACTGAATGGATGCCATATGCAGTTCTTTATGCTGAAAATGTCATTACTACTAAAGGAATGATGTACTTTGACCAACAATTCTTTTTTGCACTTTTGAGGGGTTTTTAAGAGCTCAGATACAAGTGAAGGTACATAAGTGAAGTTACCTAATCTTTTTTTTTTTTTTGCTGTCTAGGTCGTCCAGAAATTTAATGCACGTTGGACCACAGATGAGCAGCTTCTTGCTGTGCAAGGTATGGCACTACAAGTTTATTTGTACTTCATTTGTTGATAGTCAAAACTTTGCTGCATTTCAGGGCTGAGTTTCTCTTCAGTGGCTAATGAAGGATTTTGACATTGCTGTGTACTAATGCACCAAGAATGTATTTGAACAAGGGAAAAATATTCCCCCTTCCCTCCCTGGGCAGTATAAATTTCATCATGTGAATATTTGCAAATAACGTCTGCTTGTCTGAGCTTTCAGAAAATGAAACTGCTGGAATCACTGCTATGCTGGTTTTTTGTGTAACTTTTCAAGTAGTACAGGCAGATTTACACAGGTCTTGTAGATTTGACCCTGCCCATCTTTTACTACACCTTTATTTTCTTCTCTTCTCCAGGGCTGGTCTTAGCTGTGTCTCTTGCCCTTTTCTGGATTAATCTGAAAAAGACTTGAAACCTTGAGAGAGGTTCAGCTTTGGATCCTTGCTGTGACTTGAACCTGATTTGTGGTCTTAGTGGAAATAACACACTGCTTTTGTTTTTCTTTTTGTCGCTTTTAGCAATCAGAAAATACGGCCGAGACTTTCAGGCAATCTCTGATGTGATTGGAAACAAATCTGTGGTGCAAGTGAAAAACTTTTTTGTAAATTATCGACGTCGTTTCAACATAGATGAAGTCCTACAGGAGTGGGAGGCAGAGCACGGCAAAGAGGAGACAAATGGAACCAATAGCCAGAAGCCTGTAAAATCCCCTGATAATTCCACTAAGATGTCCGAAGAGGAAGATGAGGTAAATCCAGTTTAAAAGTAACATAAAATTCCCAATCTGAGCTCAGTTCAGATAGATGTGTGTGTGCATATATATATATACACACAGTCTTTGCAAAAGCCATTTTTTACAATCTTCAATCTGAGCATATTTCACTTCCCCTGGATAAACACATTCCAGTACTGATTTCGAGAATTGGGAATTCCAGGCATGTATGAAAGTGGAAAGAGAACAGTTGGTTTTGCAGCCCTCTGACAGTATCTGTATCTCATCAGAACAAGGATGTTTTAATGCCTCTTGATGCCGAAGCCCCATATATCTTTATCTCACTTGGATGTTCTCCCTGCACTCAGTTCTCCCAACTGTTCTAGGTTTGGCTTTGTGGGACCCTACAGTCTTCTGAGCCAAAACTTGCTCTTTCATTTTTGATGATTGAGTGGCTTCACTCGAGGGAAGGGAAGGAAACTATAAACAAGACAAGTGTGTGAAACTGTTCACTCTGGAATTACCTAAAGGCCAAGTTTCCTTGATTTTCACAGCAGTTTCTGTGCAGACAGACATTCTAGAAACAGCCACTCTGTGATGGAGCTTCACGGAGTTAACACTTCTCCAGAGGCTGTGTATGTTTAAAGTTAACAAAGGGACTGTAGAATGTTTAAATATGAAAGTGAGTTACAAAAATGTAGTATTAATCTTACAAAGGAAAACCCCAGTAGAGGTTTGCATGTTAAAAATGTCAAGGACTTCCTTTGGCCTGATTTGTAAGACAGCTTGGTGCAAAAGCTGTGTCTTCTAAATGCAAGCACAGTCAGCAGCATAGGGCAAATTTTGGACTAAAGACTTCTCAGTGTACTATATATCTTTGTTGATCTGATTAAGGTTGGGTCACCCATACCTTGTCCTTCAGACATTCAAAAAGCAGAACTCCACTGGTTCACAAATCCTAATAACATGTAATTCAAAAGATGCTTATGTTTGGGAACTAGATCCAAAGGTATGACAGATAAATAAAACCAAACTCAGAAAACTTGCCTTCTCAGGAGGATGTGAGTGAAATTGTTCCGTTCTTCCAGAATTGAGAGGTAGAGCAAAGAAGCAATGGTACTAGTATGTAGCCACCAATTTGAAAGATAGGTGGCTCATGTCACTGCATTTTCCTGTGACCAACAGAGTTGTATCTGTTGGCAGTGCAGAGCTTTTCTTGTCTGAGCCCTCTGAGATTCTCCCTAGCTTCAAATACACCCTTATTCCTGAAAGTTGAGGTCAAACCAGTGAAATCTTGCCTGACATAGGAAAAAATGGCTGCAGCAGGAACTGGAGTGGGCTGATGTGGCCAAGTGGGGGTACTGGAGCAATGAGGATCCTGAACAAGTTAGCAGAGGAGGAGCAGGGAGAGTGGAGGCATGACAGAAAGGTCTGGTAAAATTACTGCTAGAGCAGCAGTTGTGATCTCTGAAACTAGTGATGGAAAGTGCCCATTCTGGAGCAGAACAAATGCTGAGTGATGGGAACCGGACCAAAACTACAATCTGGTGGAAATGGTTGCAAAGCCTGAAAAAAGGGCAGCTGTTGTGAGAGTCAGGTGGGTCAGTGCCCTTCAATACTGTGGGGATGAGGGCAGAGCCTGCCTGCAGCAGGCTGACAGACAGGAGCCAGCAGGCTGACAGACAGGAGCCAGGCAGGGTGGCAGTGAGCTGCCAGCTGTGACAGACTGCATATGCCTAGCCCTGTGTGGCTTCTGGGTCTTGATGAGGCCTGTTGTGGACAGTAGGAGAACTGATATGTCATGGCTGGCAGCATGGAGGGGATTTTAACTACCAAGCCTGCAGTTCTTTATAAAAACACATATGGAAGGGACACAAAGCTGTCCCACAGTGGGTATCTAGTGGCCACTGTGGCCACTTACAGGATTATCCCGTTAAGTGATCTGTGGGCTAGGAGCAGGTTTCCTGAGCTGCACAGTACTGTGTGGCTGATTCCTGCTCCTGAGGGAACTTACACAGGTGGTGTCTGGTCAAGTCAGGGGGACTCTGCAGCAGCCAGGAGAAGGCTTTGCTGGCCTAACACTGAAGTCCCTCAGGTGCTTTCTCCCCTGGCATGCCTTAGGTGTCTGGCCACCAGCCTAGTGAAAGCTTCATCAGCCCTCTGAGGGCTGTGGGCTTTTCCACAGCAAGTGGCCACAGTTCCCCAGTTTTTGAAGGAGGGAGGTAAGACTGCTGATTTTAAAGCAGCCTCAACTCTAGTCTTAATTTCTGTATGTTTACATTCGCAACACCAAATCCCAGTGTGCCTCAAAACATGGAAAGCTGCTGCGATTCTTCCTGTGTGCCAGGGTTGTCTGTTTAGTTGCTTTTAATACCGTGGATCTGGGGTGAAGTTTGGAGATGCAATAAAGCCTGTGTGTATTCATTTTAAACTAAACATCTCCTTTTTCTCCCCCCTTTCCCCTTCCTTCCAGGCTACTTCTGTTCTTGATGTCAGATATGCATCTGCTTCGTGAGAAGGTGCTGTAGCCTAGAACAATTTGTGTTGACTACTGTGTTATCCAGGATATCAGGTATTAGCAAACCTCAGACAGCCATCTGCATCATATCTGTGGACAAGCAGCTATTACCAAAAAAAAAAAAGGCAAACGCTTCCAGTCCTGTGCTACATCTGCCTTAATCTCCCCTCATTCCTCCATACTGCCTCCACTTTCTTTCAAAAGCACCCAGGTAGCTCAGCTCTCCATTTCATCAGCATCATGCTTAAGCATGGGGACTTCTAGAACCAGTAACACCTGTCTATAAATTTTTGACCAACCTGCAAAACAAGGAGCTCCTTAGCAGCCCCACAGTAACTCTACACATTAGGAGTTCTTGTAATACTTGGTCCATAGGGTATAAGTATGTATTGCTGCATGGCCTTGTGGTCTCCGCTTCCTGTGTATTCTTACGATGACACTATTATTAGTGAGCTTTCTATAAAGGAGAGGCCCTGTGCACATGCCAGCAGTGTCAGGTTTGCTCTGCCGTGACAGGACATGTTAACAAGCAATCTTGAATAATGCAGAGTGATAGGAAAAGTGATTTCTAAGGTTTGGTCAGTCCAAGGTTGTAGATGTAACTCATTACACTTCTGGTTTGTGCAATTCCTTCCACTGTATTTGTGTGTTCTTGCTTCATAGAAAGCTCCCTAATTGAGCATTTTATTCCTGTATATTTTAATGGCTTTTATTTAGTGCAAAAGGGAATACGTAACCTGAAACTGTTTGATACGCTATTTAACCCCTGGCATTCAGCATTTGCATTGTAACTTGTTAAATGAGTGCTACACAACTTTCTTTTTCCTGATCCTCTGTGGGATTAAGTCAAAACAAACTTTCTCTGGTGCCTCTCCTTTGGGGAATATGTGCCTTTTTACATTTGGCTACCATAGGTCACTTTCTGTCCCAGTGTCTCATTTCTCTTCAGAGCGCTGTTTGCCAAAGACATCAAACTGCTTCTCCCACTGGAAGTCTGGACGAGGGTTGGAGCACAAAATTCAACCTTCAGGAGTTTTTGGTCACTTGGAAGTTTAATGGAGAAGAACCAGGTTAATTTTCATTGGCCATTTTAACCCTTCTGAAGCACATATCGCTTTCATGTTCTGAACCAAAATATGCAATTTAAAATCTAAGAGGTGCTTTTCCAAATACTTGGTGCATGCAGCTTTCAAATCCCAGCCCTCTGCTCGGATGACCTGTGCTGTGGCCTATCTACCTGGCCTGAACTGGAGCTGTTCTTGGAAGTCCTTTGTGAGGACTTTGCACCTTGAACAAGGTAGTTGCTGACTGCCGAGCAGACAGTGTTCAGAGAAGCTAGAAGCAGCATTATTACTTCTTGTCCAGTGGAAAGCTGCAAAATAACACTAGTCACAAAGCATTTAAAAATGGTTAATTTAATGATGGTGAAAGAAACCACCAGGTGTCTTTGCAGGTGGAAAAAAGGACCTTCTTTGCCCCTCTTCCTCTGCAGAGGGTTTAAGTCAAGATGGCACACAGTGATGGACAGCACTGGCCTTTCTTAACACAACCTGAAATGAGCTAGTTGGTGGCCTGGCCTGCAGCTGAGGTGCTGCAGCTCATAGTTGAGCCCCGTCCTTGGTGCTGATGTAGCTGCTGGGCTGTGCCATGTTGTGTGCTGTAGTGGCTCTGCTCTCTGTACCTGAGCGAGGCAGGCTGATTAGCTGGGTAATAGAGCCAGCTCTGTGCACCTCCTGCAGTGTGGACACAGCCCAAGGAAAACCCTTCCCCTTGGGCCTCGTGTGAGGACAGTAATTCAGCATCAGACACTGAGCAACGACACACAGGCACAGAGCAGGTAGGGATTTCCTAGGGCAAGCTGGAGCCCAAAAAGGGCCTGTTTCAGAAACTTGGCAGCTGTTTCTGAGCAGGTCCATTCTAGTAGCTCCAGAGAGATCCTACGAGGTGATGGGAGGATGGAAGGGAGCTATTCCCTATCCTTTGTATTGATGTTTGTGTCTCTACAGCTGTCGCTGTGAACTGGCAGCTCTGATCATGGTTCAGATGTTCCTTCAGACCTGTGCCAGTTGGAGTTGGGAGTCTCCTGTGGGAAAGGATGCTAGTAGTTAGCCAGTGTGTGAATTAGGATTAAAGACCGGGCAAATAGCACTGTGAATCCAGTTGACAGTTGTGTAAAGCAATGCTGCTCGTTAGAAACACTCTAGTATTAAACCTCCTGCTGGTACCAATGCACGGAGACAGGTCCTCGCCAGTGTGGGAATGTTGTGGGAACCTGCATCCCAGCTGGGAGGACTCGTCAGGAGAGGCTTCTGCTGGAGAGTTAGTTACCTGTGAGGACTTTCCATTGGTTCTTGCCCTCAAATCTGTCCATCTTATGATCAGAAAAGTTGTGTTTTGGCTTCATCCCCAAGGGGTAGGGGGAAACATGTATAATTCGTGCTATTAGGAAGAAAAAAGTTGTTTAATTACTTTTCAGTTGACTGCTATCTTATTGTAGTTGATACATGCAATATAATAGCACTGTATTTTAAACGTTTAGTTTTTTACGTTCTCTTGAACTATGTTTTTAAATGCGATGAAATCATTTTAGCTTTTGAAATGGTTTGATCTTGTTTAGGTGAAGACCCTCTTTTTCTTTTTTTAAATGGGTCAAGCATTAGAAACATCAACTGGTTGCATTCTGACTAGAAGGGTCCACAAAGATAACTGCATAAGATAGAATATTCACTTAAATTTTGTTTCTTAAACTATCAATGTGAATGTCATAATTATATATATTTTGTGGAAAACGGGAAATTATTTCTCCTAAGTATAAGTTATTGTGCAAAATATGGTATCGTTAAAGAAAATGATAGTTTAAGTTTTAGTTTTAGAAATCTTAAAGATATAAAAGTGTATTGCATACGCATAAACAAATTTCATTTGTTCTATTTAATTTTTATGTAGTTGTGTAAAGTGCTAGGTAACTTCTTTTTTTCACTTATCCATTAAAACAACCTTGTTACTTGAATATTCGTGTTTAACTGGTTTGAAACAGTGATCAATTTTTGTAATATAATCTTATAACCAAGGGAAAAAAAAAAAACCACGCCTCAGTTGTGCTTAACAGTATAGCAACAATGTACAATCAGATGCTTAAGACCATAGTAGCCATAACTGGTAATGCAACCACAATGGTTGTGTCTCGAAATATTTAATACCAATGGGGATAATGATTTCTTAATATATTTTTACAAGTTTGCAACCAAGAAGACCCCATGAATATCCACTAGAACACTTTTTTAATAGTTAAAAGTAAGAGTGAAACTCTTACTCTCTTAAAGCAATGTCCTGACAAACATTTTTCTTTCCTGTACAAATACATCAGAAACATTATGTATTAAAATATGCTCATTGTCACTTTAAATTTCAGTTTTTATTCTCTGAAATCGCTAATATGCTGTTGGTATTCTTGCACACCAAATATGAGCCAAACAGTGCATTACACTAACTCGATCACTGGATTTGTGAACAAAAATCTCCAAGTCAACGAAACGCAAAAATACCGTAGGAGATTTCTTTTGATAATGCGTGGTTTTCCAATTGGTATAAAGTTGTGCACAGCCCATTCAACGATGAGTGGTCTGATACTTACTCTCTGAAAAAAAAAAAAGAGAAAAATGATTTTATTAGCTCCAGCTTGTCTTCAACAAGTAAAAATCTAGTGATCTTGTGCAATGCCCCTAAAGCAAATACTTTCTGCCACTCCCTGGATTAATGCAGCTTTTCCTGTTGATAGTAAAGCACAATTGCAGTGAAAGTTACAGTTCAGAAGATGGAAGGTCAGTATAGTCTATGCATGTTGTATAATAATGAGTGTTTACATTCATATTCTCCTAAAATAAGATTTATACTGGAGTGTATAGTATTCCATTATGTAGATTTTATCAATTTTGTTAACTGCTTATAGATTGCTTAAAAGAAGTTTTTTCAAGATTTTAAAAGATGTATAAGGTTAAGTTTGCAAATATAATGGAAATGCTGTATAGCTTTTGAAGTGATGAAATACTCGTTGGGATTTTAAAGAAAGTATGTTGTAATAATGCTGTTGTAAGTAATATTTTAAATGTCTTTTTTGCCTGTTTTCTATTATTCAGCACACTTACTGTGATGAATGTTCATAGCATTATAAAATTGCTTAGCCACTGAAAAGTAACATTTGGTTTTGGATTATTTTACTGTATGAGGAATTATAGTGGGGTAAATTCCTTTGTGAAATTCTACATAATTCATTTTTCTATGATTTCCAATGTTTGCTGACATCAAATAAAAATTTTTCAAGCCATTGATGTAATAAAATGTGTAGTAAAATGTTATTGACGTAAAGTGTGGTTCTGATGTGTAATTGACCCTCCTTACCTTTCAGATTTTGGTCAGGAGATGCAGCCAGGGTTTGCCCGTTCCTGTGTTGCATCCTCTGTGCAGAGGTGTCACTGGAGTCAGGGATCAGAGTCCTGGGCTCTTTGGAAGCTTCAGCAGCCTTTAGTACACTGCTGCTGGCTGGAGCTGCCTGTTGTCATTCCCACCAGTGGCCCTGGAGAGATGGCTGCTCCTCCTTTCCTGGTGGTGTGGCACATTCCTTTCCCTGGCCACTTTCCAGGCAGCTGTTCTCGCATTTGGGAAGCAGTGGGACTGGAGTGATGGCTGGTTTTGAAGGGGTAGAATGGGAGCCTTGCACATAGGATATGGGTGGAGTGTAGTTGACAGTGTCATCCCTAATATAAGGAGGACCTGAAGAATAAACTGCTTCCTCTGCTGCCTGCAAAGAGCACTTGGCTGTGCAAGTTGACAGGATTTTCATCTTTGTCCTACAATGAAAGAAATGTGTTTAAAATATATAGAAAAAGGCAACCCTTGCCCTCAAAGCTTAGCAGTGCGTTGATGTTGCTATTGAAGGTGCTCAAAAGGGCAGGAAATTCTGTGCCTTGAGATTTTCAGGAAGGTTGTGTTTTGTCTCTTCACATGCTTGGTGCTACTAAACACTAAATGCAGAAGCCCAGACAAGACTTTGTAGGGCAGTTTGGGGCAAACTGCTCTGTCTTTGCCTTGTTACGTTTGACAGGCAGGTACCAGCAGTGCTCTGGGTGTTAGTGCAGGACGGGTGATGAGAAGTTCCCTACAGCAGAACTAATACAGGAGAATACTGTGGTGGTTTCCAGTGCTGCAGCATGAGGAGGGCAGGAATTAGTCATGCCTTTCTATATTGTAAAAGAAGGGGGTGGGGAGGGAGAAAGGCTTGGGGTTTTGGAAGAACAGACAGCATTTTTGAAAGCTGAGGGTGCTTCCTTACTGGAAAGCATCCTTGTAATTTTCCTGCTGGTAGAGAATATGGTACCAGTATGGTAAAGTACCAATCTGCTCTTTCAGGGGAGTTGTTTGACTCGAAGCTCCTTCAGCCCTTAAACGTTCAATACAAACTAGCTTTTCTTGCCCCAAAGTAAAACAAAACAAACAAACAAACAGAAAAAAATAAAAAAAAAAAGAAGGAACTTCCCCTCCTTTCAATCAGGGAACAGAAAGAGGTGAGGAAATGCGGACTTCCCATGCCTGAACATGCACCTCAGTAGTCTCCTGAGGAGTCCAGAAGCAAAGGTAAAGTAATAGTAATACCACTGTTTTTGGAAACAGGTGCTACATTTCTACCTAGTAGTGGTATGTATTTGTAAAAAGGTATGCAGTGGTGAATAAATGTGTTCAGTATTCCTGGTAGCCTGTCCTACATAAATTGGAATCTGATAATTTCCAGTGCTGAAGTCTTAAGGCATCATCAGCACTCCAGCAACTACTGTGGTTTGGACTTTGAGGTCTGGCCTTACCTAAGCCTTGGACCTCAACTAGGAATGGAAAGGTGTATATGGGGAAACCTTAGTTTCCAAAGCATGTGTGTGCCTTCCAGGCCTTTCCCCTGCTGTGGAGTATGAGCCACATGGCAGCATGGAGTGCTTCTCCCTTAGGATAGGAAAATGCCTTGTAGGATGCAGTATGAGCTGGAGTTCAGGCTAAAAGGGAAGAGTTCAGTGTTGGTGCTGTCTGTGTGCTGAGATCTTCATCGAATCCCCAAGTATCCGCTTTATGAAATAACAGTATAAGCTTGGATTTCATTTCATAAACTGTCTTCCAGTGTGAAAGATGCAGTGGGATGTTTGAGAGAGAAACCCAGTTATCAAACCTGTTATAACATTCTCCTCCAAACCATGCTCTGGTTTATCCACCCATCTAGTCTTTGTGGTAATAAGGGCAAATGTAATTTCTGCTCTTGCTTTTAGTAAACAATCAAAAAACTATATGTGTAAAAACAAACAAATCCAACAAAACAAAAACACTCCTGCTGACAGTGGTAGGAAAATTGGTTTCTTTTGCTGCAGAAAGGCTAAGGAGAGAATTACTGTAATATATTAAGGGAACTAGTTTCTGAAGTCATCAAGAAGGGAATTCTTGAGGACAGTAACGTACAGGAGGTCTGAACTTTGATATGAAGTGGAGAAATCACCTGGAAGTTTCCTCTACTAAAAGGGGAGAAGTTTGTGTGGAGGAGGGCTGCAGGCCTAGCCTAGCAAGGGCAGCAAAAGGGCAGGGATTTCTGAGATGGGAAAAAAACACTGACCAGCCAAGAAGTTTACACTGGGGAGATCGGGAAATGGGAGTAAGAGAACTGACACATCACACTGACTTCTGCTTGTATCCAGCTGGAGACAAGAGTGAGTGAGAGGTGAGGTGTTTGTTCTGATTCTGGACATATGCTTAGTTTTCATGAAGTTAGATTGCAACAGGAGAAGGTGTGTGGAATGATGGAAATAAAACATGCACATGTGAACTGGGAGGTGCTTTTCTCTCCCTGCACACTCTGGGAGAACAGACATAATTTGTCTGACACCTAGCTTATGAGACTGTATGGCTTAGCAAGACCTGAATAAGCTTTTGAAATGGTAGATGAGACCGTGTGGGACAAAACCGAACTGATTTCTAAAAGAAAAAGATGAATAGGAGATCTAGGCAGCTACAGAGTTCTTGATGCTGCCTTGTGTATTCAAGGTTTAGAATAAGCTGTGATGGAAAAGAGAATTAGGTGAATTAATGAAATAGAAGAATGGGTGCAGTGGGTTTGCCGGAGAGAGAAGTGTAGTCTATCACAAGGTGCAGGATTCATCAGTGGATAAGGATATCACTGCCTGAGCTCACTGTCCAGAATCCCTTAGAGAGAAATAAGCTTTTCCAGGGTATAATTAATTTAATCCTAAATTAGATGTTGAAAACTGATCTAATGTATTACATACTGGAAGTGCTTATTCCTTTCCTTATTATAGATTAAGGTAGAGCCTAGGGCTCTGTCTCGGATGTGGAAGCTGGGCATTAACCACACTGGTGCCATGGCTGCCTGGGCTTAACCCAGGAGGGGAGAAGGACTTAGACCCCTCGCTGCAGCACTGGGTGTTGCACTTGCAGCTGGACAAAGAAATGTGGATGCCTCATACCAATGCTTTGGAAAGTTCCTGTGGGGTGTTTTGTACAATCCTGGTTCATCCTCTGAAAGACTGGTCTGCCCAAGCAGATGGAGATGAAAGGAAGGCACCTGTGCCTTCCTGCCTTGCTCAGAAAGATGGAAAGGAGGTCTGGGGGTTGTGGCTGTTCTCTCTAAATGGCACCTGGGCATCACGTGTTCTGATAAAGGCAGTGTTGATGGGAGTGAAACTAGGCTGTCCAGAACCTTAGTGAGGTAATTCTTCCAGGTCTGGGGACAAACATCTCCTAAACTTTGAAAATATGTGAAGGAGGTGCTGTGGTTACTGTGCTGAACATGGTACTGCAGAAGATTCTTCCCAGTTCCCTGCTTCTTGGTACAGAAGAGTGTTGAGCAACCCTGGTTTGCCAGTTAGGTCCACCCTTACTGCCAGCTGCTTTTCCGGGAGAGTAGTGGTGAATCCCAGGAGTTTGTACTGTTGGCAGGACCGTGGCCTCTGGTGGAAGGGTGCTCCAGGAGATACACCTGCCTCTGATTGTATCTATAGCTGTCCCCTGTCCTGGCTTTCAGCTGCCTGCAGCTGGCCAGTGGTTGCAGAGGCCAAGCAGCTCCAGTGTCAGAGGTGAAGAGAGGTGCTGGGACTGTGTCAGCTGTGGATTTTGAGTCCAGTTGTGCACCAGGATGAAGCTGCTGGCTGACAGCTGTGTGGGTGAGAGCAAGGGATGGAGGGCTCCCTGGAGCTGTCAGGTCCGTGGCTATGCTCTGTGTGCTGTCTGCAGGGCAGGATAAATGGCTTTGGGACAGGGGAAGATGGAGAGACATGCCCCTGGGCAAGTAAAGGTTGTGTTGTGGCACTCACCTGCATTTTGTGTGTGCTATTCTGAGTATAGAAGCTGATTTGAAGAAGCCTTGTCTCGCTCCAGGCACTTTGCCTGCCTTGGACCACAGTCTACAGCAGCTGGGACACTTGCCACTGGGATGCAGTAACTGTTCATTCTCCATGTGCCAGACCCAGAACCTCTCTGCCCAAGAAGGGAGGCTCAAGAAGGGAGTTCATGGGAGTACCAGCAGATTCCCAGAAATTCCTGCTGTGTTGCTTTGGGGATTTTGTGTTGGCTGATGTTTTCTTGAATTGGGTCCCCTGTGGGAAAGATTGGCTTGAAGGATTCTGTTTATTTTCATTTCAGTAGCTACTGGATGTTGAGTTTCCCCAAACTGCAGCATGGCATGTCCTACAGCTTTGTCTCCATCACTGATACCTGAATCGCTTGTCCTGCTTGCCTGTAGGAAGGGTCCTTACTCCTGTCCTGTGCTCTTTCCTCATGAAGGAGGATTAAACCTGCTTCCTGACACAGGATACAGTGGGAAATCTGGGACAGCTGGAAATTTCTGGAGTTTCTAAACAAGTATGTCCTCCTGAAGATCCCAAACATTCATTGCTTTTTTGAAATATGCCTCTGATTACAGAACTAGCTCCCCTGTGGCTTGGTACCTTTTGAGTACTCTAGAAATGTGTCTGTGTTGTGTGGGGAACCTCACTGGACCAAGTTTCCATTCCTTTGGGCCCTGTGTCCCAGCTGTCTTCAAGAGACAGCTCAGGTAAGAAGTGTCATCCTGTGAAGAAGTGTCACTAATGCTGAAAATATATGCGTATTTTCTGCCATTTTTAGCCTGTCCAGTACAACTTCAGGGACAGCTTTTCTGATGCCAAAAGTAGCTTTGTGTCTCTTATCAATATATTGTACTGTTAATGTTCTCTCTTGGAAAAATAAATTTAAAAAACCTATTAATAAACCCAAAAGCAGTCAATTGGATGTTCTCCTTTAAGCTAATTCCCTTTTGCTGCGTGACTGGTTC